TTAATGATCCATTGTGCATTTACTGCTTAAAAGCAGTTCTCAGAAATGTCCCTACTAAATATCAGCTGTGTTCGCCTGATTTGTCTAAAATAGCACACTTATGCTTACAGTATCTCCTAGTAGGGAAGTCCCTTTTTTGGAGGTTGTTTTGACACAAATAACATGATCCAGAAAACTCAATTACTTCCCACATAAATCTTGTAGCTAAATCTGGTCAGTTCAGAGGTCAGTGCTCAATTCAGTGTTTGTGGAGCCCAGCCCATGGTTATGTTAGGCAAAGACAAGTACTGATTTCTGCATTCTGCCAGCAATTTTTAAACCATTCTGTTGTTCCGCAGACAACAAGCTGTATGCCGCAGCTTATGAATCTTTATGATACTTTTATTGGTGCTTTGTATTGTTTTTGAAAAGCTGACATGATCCTAATTTAATCCTATTGTTTTTATGTTATCTTTGTTTGATGTACAAATTAGGGACTAAGAAATTGGCAGAATTTTAGTCAGTCGTTGGGCCAGATGCTTTTTCTAGGAATTTTTTCTAATTTATAATTGTCATTTTTGAAGCTCACATTTATCTCGTCCACTGAGCAGTTTGTAAGACATGAGAAAGTTTGTATGATGAAAACATATGTGAATCACGGCACTTGTCATGTGCACAAGGTAATTTTTAATCAAATTGAGGAAGTAGTCAAATTCAAATGTTTACATGCTTTATTTTTTCTTATTGATCGGATAATTTTAGGTCTACACCACCCTTTCAATCTGATTGAAGTTTCATTTGGCTCAGGCTTAATGGGATTGATTCATATGTTTACATGAAGGCATTTAAGCAATAAATCATTATTATAAACGTAATTTGGGTGCATGCAAATATAGCTACTGCTCAAAACCCAGTGACTGTATGCAAAAATATAGCAAAAGAGTAAAAAAAAAAATATTTTTTAAAAAGGCCTAATTTTGGTGATTTATTATTATACTCAAATATGCAAAGTTACCATCCCATTCCTAGCCTTTTTGTTTTGTTTTGTTTTTTGTTTTGTTTTTGGACAATGGTGTAGACTAGTTGTGAAATCAGATACTGGCATGCTCCAGCAGTCATGTTTCCTTGGGTGATAGGATACTATCCCGTCTGGCAGCCGTGGTGGCTCCTATAGGCGTTTAACTGGCATTCTTGGAGAGCCATTGTGAGAACAAGGATCCTGAATGTATGTGAACGATGCATGAGAGCAGCAGGTGCAGCGTGTCCCGCAGTACTCCTTCCTCTGACGTCTGTGTGTGGGTTGGTTTCCTGTTGTGTCAGAATGTTAGAGTGGAATGAGTTTCTACACAATGCCTCAATGAGGTAACTGTATGCACGACAACAGCATTTGCATTACAGTGCTGTTAAAAAAATATAATTGAACAAGGAGTTTGTTTGCTTGCTTGTTTGGTATTATATCTTTGCATCAGTTGGTTATCTTAAATGCAAATGATGAATTGAGGTATTTTGGGACACCAGTACTCTTAATTAGATGCCAAAAAAATATTCCAGATTACTGTAATTCATTTTTTGTACTGGATGTTAATGTAAACCATGTGAGTTCTTGTAAATAGGCTAATGGTTTGAAAATGGTGTTGGCCTAAGTATCCCCATTAGGGGGCAGCAGGATCTCATAAAACACTGATCTGTGAAGGGCTATGCGGAGTCCAAAAAGTCTGAGACCACTGGTGAAAATTAGTTTAGCTTTTTTTTTTTTTTTCATTTAATACACTTTTCCCTTGCAAATAATTTTATTGTCATACAAATTTAATGAAAAGCTAAACCACCAAATTAAAATGCTCAGACATTTTTTTCACCCTTTTGCTTTGCTTATGCAGATTTGAACTGCATAAACTCCTCAAGTTTATATAAAACCTGATGATCATATTCTTAAGCATGATTTTAGAAGATCCGAAGAAGATCTCTTGATGAATGAACATCTGGCTGTCTGTATAAAGGAGCTCACATCAGGAGTGTCACAACTTTGCTTATTTGATTAGTGACCCAGAAATATTGTTAAATTTAAAATATTTCTTATTCGTGTATTTCTTAAACATTTCTTTTGTTTTAAAACTTCCGAAACTTGTATTAGGGCTTTTCACATTGCCCTTAACCCTGGATTATCTTCGTTCTAAACCCTGGTTTTAACCCCTGGCTAAATGAACGTTTCACACTTGTAATTAAGAAGCAGGCTTGGCACCACATTTTACCTAGGGTTATGAAACGTTTATAAACAGTCGTTTCTGCATTTAAGTGGATGAATTGAATTGGAGAAAAGAAGGGACCATTTCATTCTTACATTTATAGTCCGAAAAGTCCATTCTGTCCACTCTTACGTCAAGCAAGATAACCCAGGGTTAACTATTTGAGATGTGAAAAGCCTATTGGTTATTTCCAAGTTTGAATTACATTTTTAGTATTGAGTACATTATGAGAGACACGTTGTTTACACTTTTATGGTGTGATTTCATTACTTGCTTCATAATTGTATGTGCACATGCTGATAACAACAACAACAGGAGGAGTTATTATAGCTTTCGTCAAGTGTGTACAAGAGGTGTGACGCTGTGATGTCTCTCTCACACACACACACAAACACACACACAGAGGTATGTGCAAGACGCGCCCAGGTTCATTTTACAGTACGAACTCCTACCGGTGCTCATCCAGAGTTGGAGTGCAGTGTGGAGCTAGACATCTCTTGGAAATCAACTTATTCTGTTTGCCGGATACACTTATACTTAGAGGGATCAGTATTTTACAATATGTGAGTACTTAATGTGATAATGACTGTAGTTTATCATATAAGTTACCATACAAGCACAACTAAATGCTTAGAGCTAGCTTTCTTTTTTTTTTAGAGAATGTTCTCACTGGTTGTGTAATATGATAGTTGTAATTATAACAAGTAACAATTTTTGGGGTTAATGTGTTTTTAATTCTGCCTTTTCTAATTTTTTTCTTGATCGGTTTTCAGTTCTTTAATATTGAGTCTACTGATAAATAACACCAACTTTTTAGAGCCATTCATTCTCAAATCAAGAAATGTTAACTTAAAAGTTATAGCCTAAAACAAAGACAAAAATAAAACAACTTTGCAGTAATTTTATTGTTTTTATAATGTTACTAATAATAACATCCACAAATAAAACTGTAGTTAAAAATGGATTCCCAATATAAAAATTACTACTATTGGTTAGGATTTAATATTTCATTAATTACTGGTAGAACAGTTAACAATAATTATAATAAAACCTTATAAACATGAGGCTATTTTTTGTGTTATATCTCTTTAAAGATTGTGATATTGAGAATGACTGGTTGCACTGTTAGTGACTAAGAGTGCATCTGTAGTTTCAAAGTAATAAAATCACAGCTGACCGATTATAGAGCATCTGTTAATCATTGTTCCAACTGTAGATATTCACAGCTTACTCAGGAGATTGTCATCATGACGTAGAATAACATTTTGACATACTGACAGGAAGCCGGCGGTGAGACTCTTGGATTTGTCAGTCATACACCGCAGAACATTTGTGACCCTAGACCACAAAACCAGTCTTAAGTCACACGGCTATTTGTAGCAACAGCCAACAATACATTGTATGGGGCAAAATTACCGTAAATATATCAAAACTTAATTTTTGAATAGTAATATGCATTGCTAAGAACTTAATTTGGACAACTTTAAAGGCGATTTTCTCAATATTTTGATGTTTTTTCACCTCAGATTCCAGATTTTCAAATAGTTGTATTTCAACCAAATAGTGTCCTATCCTAACAAACCATACATCAATGGAAAACTTATTTATTATAAATCTCAATTTTAAAAAATTGACCCTTATGACTGGTTTTGTGGTCCAGGGTCAGATATGTGTCACAAGCTGGAAGTGGTCTGGACTTTGGCATTATGATGTCACATATTGTCGGGAAATGCCACTGAAATATGTATGCATATAGTTAATTTAGATGTTAATTTATGTTACTATTTGGTCACTTTATATACAAGTATATACAGTATATGTTTGTATATATAAATAAAGGTATTTGCCATAAATGTAAATGTAAGAGACGTGAAAACCAGTCTGTAGCTAATTGCAATTCCTTTTAACTGTAAGTGGTCTGAGAAACTGTTGTAGAAGTGAATCGAGGTTAATTAATAACAAGTGAGTGCAATGAGGCAAAGCAGCCCTCTTCATTAACCTCTTCTGTTGGGAGCATTCCAGTGTTGTAATCTAAGCACAGCACGGCCTTGTTCCTCCTGGAAAATAGACATTTTTCAGATACAGATGGATGTTTAAAGGAAGAGTATTTACTTGAATGGCCTCTTAGTTAAAGCTCACCCTGAGCTCCTGCTGACGGCGCATAGCCGAGAGGCGTAGTTAGACTGTGATTTTTAGTGGCCCTGTTAAAACTATTGTTTGCCAGAGCAGTCTCCTGGAATCCGCTCTGACCCCTGTGGCTCTGGGTCAGGACACCCGTCACAGCTGAGGGGCTGAGTGGTTCCACGAGACTAGTTTTTGTTCACTTTGGCTTGAACAGCTAAAATAAAAGTTGTGCTTGCTTTTTAGGAACTCGTAAAGTAAGAGAAAACCGAGGCTTTCACTTCGAAGACCACTTGTCCATGGTTTAGTTTGGCAGGTAGAGCTCTTGGTACAGATTAGGCAAGAACCGAATCTTTCAACAACAGGCTTGCATAATGTAGCGGTTGAAAGCTGTAACTTGTCCCGACTCGCTGAAAGGTTTCATACTGGAGAAACAGGAATTCTGGTTAAAGGCTTGTTCGTGATAACTTGCTCGTCGTGACTTTGTTCTGTTTCACTTAATTGTTTGATTATGTAATTAATGTAATTATACTTACAAATAACATTGACAAATTACAGATCTTCTTGACTGCCCAAGATAGATTTTATTATTTATTTTTTTTCAAATAGATTTTTATTATCTGCCTTTTGTAAGCAATAACAAAGAACAAATCAGTTATGAGCCAGAATTTTAATTCTAGGGCATCCCTAATCAATTCCCTGTTCTGTTTTAGGAGCTCACAGGACATTTGTCCTCAGATTATCCCCTGTTACCTGGAGAGAAGCCCCCTCAAATTCGTCGGCGCATCGGAGCTGCTTTTAAATTAGATGAGCCAAGCATCCTACATAGAACTGAGGTAAAGTCCTACACTGACTCTTAATCTATATTCACACAAACCATGGATAACAATCGATGGTTCCTATAAATAAGTCTGAATCTGATGAACATGATACACAGGACTCTGAGCTGAGCTCTGTGGAGGCTGGTCTGGCTCTTCAGCAGCATATATACGTGGCGGCCCACAGACTGTGTCAGGAGGAACATCTCTGCAAAGCGGTGAAGAGGAGTCGTCTACAGCAGTACCAGCGTGAGGAGAGGAAACTCAAAGAGCTACAGGAAGCTGTGTTCAGGCTGAGACTGGAACATGGCCGATCTTCACCACGCCCTGGCATGATCACACAGAGAGGAGGTGAGTGATAAATAGGAGCACTTACTTTTTCAGGTTTTTTTTTTTTTTTACTCGACCATGTAATGAGTTAACAGCTTGATTATCAAAGATCATCTTGCTCTTATTTTATCTGTTTTATATCAAGGCACTTCAGACAATAGCTCGTTGTCAGACTCTGCTGTGCTGGATGAGGGTAAGGCAAAACCATGTTTATGCATAGTGTTTTTTCAGATATTTTTCAGATAATGCAGTCCCTAAAAATTTTTTGCTTTGTATATATATAGTTTATTTAAAGGTTTTTATTATTTGAAAAATATAAATAATACATATTTTAATAGATTAATCATTAATATAATATATATATATATATATATATATATATATGTGTGTGTGTGTGTGTGTGTGTGTGAGACCCTGGACCACAAAACCAGTCATAAGGGTCAATTTTAGGATACAATATTTGGCCGAGAGACAACTATTTGAAAATCTGGAATCTGAGGGTGCAAAAAATTCAAAATATTGAGAAAATTGCCTTTAAAGCTTTCTAAGAAGCTTTGCTTAGTGTATTGTCCTTAGCAATGCATATTACTAATCAAAAATTAAGTTTTAATATATTTACGGTAGGAAATTTACAAAATATTTTCATGGAACATGATCTTTACATTTGCTAATAATTTTTGGCATAAAAAGAAAAATCTATAATTTTGACCCATACAATGTATTTTTGATTATTGCTACAAATATACCCATGCTACTTATGACTGGTTTTGTGGTCCAGGTCACACATGTCTATAACCCTTGTTAAATTAAATAATATCTCTCTCATCCATGTTTCAGAGGAACTGTCTTCCCAGCTTTCTTCAGAGCCTCCTGCTGTAGACTTTCACCCTCCACCTCTAACCAACTCTCATCCCCCTCCTCATACACCTATAGTCCCCTCCTACCGGCCTCTGGAGGCCACTGTTCGTCAAACCCCGCCACAATCCCTGGAGGATTTGCACACATGCCAGAGTCCAATCTTAGAGCATGACCCTGCCCCCATTCAAAGCTCTCCCTGGATGGAGAGTAGTTTGGACCAGCCCTATCAGAAAAAGAAAAAATCTCACTCTAGTAGCATCAAATCCAGGTACATATAGCAGTATATATCATATAGTAGAAAATATCTACAGTGCAAAGCAAGTATTAAATGTCAAACGCATGTCATCTATGACCTTTGAAAAGCAGTTTTGACTCACCTGGTCATCAAGACATCACATAGTAATTTTTTGGTTGGGTATAACCACACCTCCTCTTATGTAATGGCTATGAAGCCAAACATCTCAAAGTTGATTTATAGAACACATGTATTGTTGTCAGTAGAGCACGTCATAGCAAAACTTCAGCTGTACTGTTTCGGTTTGTCTTCATAAGTGTAAAAAAAAGTGTTTTTGTTTTTCAACTCATAGTAGTCCTGCTGTTACCCCCACGTTGCCTCCTCTGGAGGTCTGTCTTGCGGAGGCCGGGATACCACTGCAGATACCCACCCATGCTGCTTTGAAACACACACAGTCCTGCAGCGCACCCTCCACTCCAGAGATGCACCTGCGCAGGATCCAGTCCCTTAGGTTTGATCTCAGTTTACTCACAAACTCACACAAAGTTTGCGGTTGGTATAAACCAATTTTTTTCAATAAATTTGTATTTATTTTTATACAAATATATATTTTATATAATTAAAACCCATTTATATTTCATATGTAATATGCTGCATTGTTATGATCAAAAATAAGATAAAAAGAGTAATATTGCGAAATATCATTACAATAATTAAAAAAAAAAATCAAACCATTTTAATGTATTTTAAAATGTAGCTTATTCCTGTGACGGCAAAGCTGAACTTTCAGCAGCCATTACTCCTGTCTTCAGGGTCACATGATCCATCAGAAATCATTCTGATATGCTGATTTGGTGCTTAAGAAAATTCATATATGATGAAAACAGTTGTGCTGCTTAATTTTTTCTGTAAACTGTGATACATTTCTTTCTCAGGATTCTTTCATGATTAAAAAGTTCAGAACAGCATTTATTGTTATTTGTAATATTATAAATGTCTTTACTGTCACTTTTGATCAATTTAATGCACCCTTGCTATATAGAAATATTAATTTCATTTTTTAAAAATCAAACTGACCCCTAACTCTTGAGTGGTAGTGTACAGTTCAGATCACATGTGTTTTATATATTGTATGACCATCTCAAATATTGACAAATCTATTAATTTCTCATTATAACAGAGTTCCCTACACTGATCCCAACCCTTATGATCCCGAGCGGGAACGTGGGCGCTCAAGGGGCCCCAGGAGACGGTTGACAGACTTTGCGGTGACACCATCAGAATACTCTCCAATAAGTCTAAATGTGGGAAACCCTTTGTACTACTCTAGTTCTGAGGACAGCAACTCGGAGCACTCTGTGCAGTCCTACACCAGCTCTCCCTGCCAGGAGCACCCTGGGGAACTTCTGTGGCCCTACCAGCCACAGTACGGATACCAATACACCAGCTTCAATGACTACTACATACCACAAAGATGCTCTCCTACCCACTTCTACAAGAATGCTCAGTACCAGTCCTCACCGAGTTTTTCCAGGGGGTACGTGGAGGATGGATGGGGTCACCCCTTGGAAATGGACAGCGGAAGATCGTCATACATAAGCCACCAGGCCCCTTCGCCTGTTTATTCATCTAATGGTCACTATGAGTACTGCTACAGTGAGGCTTTGCCTTCCCAGCAGCGAAGTTGCAGGTTGTTACCCGCCCACCTGAAATTGTCACGGGCTCCTTCGCTAAAAGAGTATCCGCACCATCCTAGCAGAGGCCTGCCACGGCAGGTGGTGTCGGAAGAACTCAAATCGTGGCACCAGCGCAACCAACTCCGACCGCCTCGCCCGCACTCGCTGGACCGGAACAGGCAGGGCGCACTCCGCATCCGAAATGCGCCTGGGCAAGAGTCCCCGCTTTCGCTTTCCCAGCACCACCAGTTCCAGGAACAGCAGGTAAATAGGCTTTCCTCACAGTCACTCAGAATAAATGTGTGGAAAATTTATTGACCTGCAAAGAGAAAGGAAACATCTCCAAATATGTACCTATCTTGGCTCTGTATGAAATAGAATAGAGCTGTATCGCCTTTCTGTCAAGTATCAGTCTGTTGGGAGAGGAATTTCCAGAAAAGGCAGATCAGTTACGCACTGCCCAGGCCTGCCTGAGGAACGGGGGAAGGTTGGCTTGATGCTCTTGCTGTGTCAAAGTGAGATCACTGCTGGATCTAGGTGTGGTGTTCAGCTATGAAAGAGCATTTGATTGGAATTAGCGTAGGGAATGGCACAATAGCAAACTGCACACAAATCATAATTGTCATTTTGTTGTTTACGGTTGCCCAGAGACATTAGAACACAATGCTTTAAATCAGTGCACACTACTATTCAAAAGTTTGAGGACTGTAATTTTTTTTTAAATGTTATTTTTTATAGAAGTCTTTAAAGGGGTCATATGATGTTGCTAAAAAGAACATTATTTTGTGTATTTGGTGTAATGAAATGTGTTTAAGATTCAAAAAACACATTATTTTCCACATACTGTACATTATTGTTTCTCCTCTATGCCCCGCCTTTCTGAAATGTGTCAATTTTTACGAAGCTCATCGGTCTGAAAAGCGAGGTGTGCTCTGATTGGCCAGCTATCCAGTGCGTTGTGATTGGCCGAATACCTCAAGCGTGTGACGGAAATGTTACGCCCCTACCATACTGTGATACCCTGTCCGGCCGGCGCGACGAGACAAAAAACATTAAAACCCATTATAAACAAGGCATTTGTTGCATCCAGTGGGGACATAATTACGGATTATAATGACTTATACTGTCTTTTTACGCGTTGCATCGTGCAGCGTAAACATAAAACCATGTCTGCATTTGTGATCGGAGAAATGACAAACAACAAGCGCTACTCTACACTGCTCAAAACTCGCGTTTGAATCGTCAGTGGCAAATTCTTTAAATATAAAAAACGTACTTACAGTCTGTGAGTCAGAACAGCCGGCATTGTAGTCTACTCTACCAGGATCAGGAAACAGTCCTCCATAAAATGTGCTGCACACATCTGAATATTTGGGTTGAACTGTTCTGGAACAGTGTTGTAAATACAACTTAACCACTGATTTCTAGTCGTGTCCTCTTTTGGAAGACCAAACAAAGTAGTTTCGCTTTCACAACGACCAAGAGCTTGTAACACTCCAAAGAGAAAGGAAAAATTGAAATCGCATCATATGACCCCTTTAATGCTCACCAAGGCTGCATTTATTTGATCAAAAATGCAAATGAAAATATTGTTTTATAATATTACAATTTAAAATAACTGTTTTCTATTTAAATTCATTTTAAAATGCAAATTTGGGATGGCAAAGCTGAATTTTAAGAGATCATTATTTGGTCTTCAGTGTCACACATTGATTTTTGTAAATGGTTGCTCTAAAAACAAATATAAATTTCCAGATGATAAATACTGATTAGAGTAATAAAACATCATCTCTGAAATCTTGGGAATTTATTAAACCAATGATTTTGGTGACATGATCACAACACCATTCTTGAAAATCGTGAATTGGAGTGAAAACATAACACTGCAAAACGTGAAATTAAAGGGTTAACTATTATATTACATAGATTCGTCTATATAAATTAAAGAAATTATATCAATATCCATTTAGATAGAAAGAAAAATGAATTCAGGTAGCAACGTAAGTAGTGCCTAAACCTGGGTCGTCTTGTGGCAACTGTTACTTTTCTCACCGCTGATCAGGATGAGCCTATCACAGCGATTACTGCATTATCACCGTTTATTTATTAATTTAACGTTTCTTTCACATTTTATTTTTAAAAAATGGTGCGGGGGGGTATCATTCGATTGTAAGATACTAATCATTTTAATTAACATTGATTTTTGTAAATGGTTGCTCTAAAAACAAATATAAATTTCCAGATGATAAATACTGATTAGTGTAATAAAACATCATCTCTGAAATCTTGGGAATTTATTAAACCAATGATTTTGGTGACATGATCACAACACCATTCATGAAAATCGTGAATTGGAGTGAAAACATAACACTGCAAAACGTGAAATTAAAGGGTTAACTATTATATTACATAGATTCGTCTATATAAATTAAAGAAATTATGTCAATATCCATTTAGATAGAGAAAAAAATGAATTCAGGTAGCAACGTAAGTAGTGCCTAAACCTGGGTCGTCTTGTGGCAACTGTTACTTTTCTCACCGCTGATCAGGATGAGCCTATCACAGCGATTACTGCATTATCAGCGTTTACTTATTAATTTAACGTTTCTTTCACATTTTATTTTTAAAAAATGGTGCGGGGGGGTATCATTCGATTGTAAGATACTAATCATTTTAATTCATATATTTAAATACTGTCCATTGTAATATAAAAATGTTTACAATAAGACAAAAACGTCCTGAGATTTGAATGTGGCCTTAAAAGAGAATTGGACTGTCTTGCCCCTCTCGGGCCTCCTTGACAAAGACAGGTATATGTCTTGTATGAATAACAGATAGTTGTTTACTAGTAGCGTTTCACTTTTTTTCGATTTATATTTTTAGTCACCTGTCTTGTATTCACGACAAACAACACTGCGCTGCAATAACGCAGAGAACTCCGGCATAAATCCCATCGATATGCTATAATGATTAGTCTTTCAGCGCGTGGACTGTTTTACAGTGGCTCAGCTTTCGTCAGTGAATGAACAGATTGGCCGCCGTTAGCCGGCGTAGACCCGTCAGTTCTAATATTGCAGATTTTTGTCAGCAGTACAATGGATAAAACATTTACGTTGTATTCGGACAAAGCCGAAGACGTCGCTACCTCCTCTAGTTTCCGCCAGTTTAAAATAGATCATTTTCATCTCGATCTTAAAGTGGACTTTGAGCAGAAAACCATATCAGGTACCGAAACAATACAGCTGCAGTGCATTCAGGATGGTCAAAGTGAGTTGCAGCTGGATATTCATCCAACACTGTCTGTACATGAGATCACGTTCAGTCATAATGCACGTGACTGGACCACTACAGAATTTCTGATTCGAGACTTCACCAATTATGGGACAACTCTGGTCGTGAAGTTTCCAAAACCTTTCAACTCAGATGACAAACTTCAACTTGCAATCAAATATACAGCTACTGATGGACCAGGGGTAAGCATGCAAACTGCTTTTAATATTTTTTGTTTATTAATTTCCATATTGACAGCTCATGACAGCTTGAGCATTTCACTATGATCAAAACTGAAACCTGTTCACATGTCATGAGACTCTCAAAGAAGAATCTTTGGTTTCTCTTTCTGAACCTGTTTTTGGCAACCTTTATTTACTAATTCAAATAAGCACTAATAATGCTAAAATGGTGAATTTATTGTACAAGCAAGCATGCATCACTTCTCTGTAGATGTCATGGCTGGACCCAGTGCAGACGGCTGAGAAGAATCTGCCATTCTTGTACACATCTGGGTTCCCTGTCCTGAACCGCAGCCTGTTTCCCGGCTTCCATACGCCCATGACAAAGAGCACTTACTCGGCTGTTGTGCAGGTAATGTCTCACCAAACGCACGTATCTTCTTACAGGTGTGTTGGCTGGAACCAGAGCAGACAGCGGGAAAGCTCAAGCCTTATGTTTTTACTCAAGGCCAGGCTGTTCTCAACCGCTCCTTCTTCCCTTGCTTTGATACTCCAGGAGTAAAGAGCACCTACTCGGCAACAGTTCAGGTGAGGCCATTGGGCCGGTCGAATTTACAGATATAAAGAGGATATGGGTGTATAGACATAATAGTTTACATAATCTGATTGGATTTTATTATTCAGGAGTCAATTCGATTGCAAAAAAATTTCTGTATATAACAGGTTTTTCTGGGTAGAAAAAAAAGTTCTTAGTGATATACTGGTAATTGTTCTGTTTTTTTTTTGTTTTTTTTATAATGACAAAATAATTGTCATTTAAATCATATTTTGGGTTTATAAGGAAATAATACTTTTATTCAGCATGGACACATTCAGTTGATCAAAAGTGGCAGTGTTACAAAAGATTTCCATTTCAAATAATGTTTGTAATGTAAATATTTTTTTAAATATAACACAATGAACTGTTTTGAACATTGATAATAATAAGAAATGTTTCTTGATCAGCAGGTCATATTAGAATGATTTCTGAAGGATCATGTGACACTGAAGACTGGAGTAATTACAGCTGAAAATTCAGCTTTGCCATCACAGGAATAAATTACATTTATAATAAATATATTCAATTAGTAAAATATATTAAAATGGAAAACAGATAAATGGTAGAAAACTAAAATGGAAAAGTTATTTTAAATTGTAATAGTATTTCACAATGTGCTGTTGCAAAATATACTGAATATGCTCAAATTTATTTTACTGTTAAGTACATCCAACCTTGGAGAACATGAGACTTCTTTAAAAAAAATTCTTACAGACCCCATATTGTTGAACCATATATGTGACCCTGGACCACAAAACCAGTCTTAAGTCGCTGGGGTATATTTGTAGCAATAGCCAAAAATACATTGTATGGGTCTAAGTGATCGATTCTTCTTTTATGCCAAAAATCATTAGGATATAAGTAAAGATCATGATCCATGAAGATATTTTGTAAATTTCCTACCATAAATATATCAAAACTTAATTTTTTATTAGTAATATGCATTGCTAAGAATTTCATTTGGACAACTTTAAAGGCGATTTTCTCAATATTTCGATTTTTTTGCACCCTCAGATTCCAGATTTTCAAATAGTTGTATCTCGGCCAAATATTGTCTCAATTTGAAATGAGAAATTGACCCTTATGACTGGTTTTGTGGTCCAGGTTTTGTGGTCCAGGGTCACATATATAATAATTGCAATGTACAAATAAATCATATGTTATAAAATGCTGTTGGTCAAAACTGTGTAAAATGTATTATTGGCCAGTTCATTTTGATTGTAAATCTTACTTTTGATTTATTTTGTCTGCAATAGGCTCACGTTAGTTTCTCAAGAAGAAAGAGCACAAGTATTATATCCGATCCAGTTTTTCTCTTGCCTACTTGATAAGGCTCAGAGTTTATTTCTTATCATTGCACTTTGAACTGTCTCATAAACACAGTAACTTATTTCTTTGATGCTCCTCACTGCTATTATCAGGTTCCTGATGGCTTCACAGCAGTTATGAGCGCTAGTAAATGGGAACAGATGGAAGCAGACAGCACTTTCCTGTTCACCATGGAGCATCCCATTCCTGCTTACCTGGTAGCTCTGGCAGTAGGGGACCTGCGGTCTGCTGAGGTGGGACCCAGGTAAAAAATTCAGAATCTTTTATAAAGAAATCGTATCACAAGGTGTAAAGTCTTTAATGCTCTTCTGAAATATGTGTTTTTGGTGAAATATATTTAGTAACGT